TGCAACAACAAAATTAGTCTGCAGCAGCAAAGAGTAAAAAATGGGAACTTTCTGATCTCCAATTCCTATTATAAAGAAATCAATGTATCAAGTTGTTCCATGCACAGATGGAAAAAATAAAGGAATTTTCTACTTCCAGAAATTAGCCAGTACTTTGGGATAAGCATTTCTACCACACAACACTCATTTTACTGACCTCTTCCACCCCTACAAGAATATCTCTCATCCTCACCTGAGCCAACAGACTGAAAAATGTAACTTGGGCATAACAACCAATCCCTGCTACTCATAACATCAGCTCCAAAATCACCAGTGAGTTTTCCAAGGTATTTTACAGCACCACGCATTCTGCAAAGGCAGGTCGGTGACATTTGGGGACACAAACTTCCTTTCCAGTTCTATCCATTCTCTCCAGGGTATCTACCCATCCAAGAGCCCAGTCTGGTTTTGAAGCCAATCCAATGGATTGCAGGGTCGTGCTTTGGCATCTCTGAGTTAGAAGAGAAGCCTTCACTCAGCCTGGCAAGAGCGGATGTCCCACACAACAGAAAACAATGTAGCAATTATTTCTGAGGAGTAGATTTGTCAGGAAAAATATTTTAATAAATGTGAGTAAACTTTTTTTATTAACTTTATGTTTCACAGTAAAATGCCTTCTCCAGCATGATCAAGACACTGCAGTATTCACTCAGAACATCATCTGGTCTAAGGAAGTGTGTGGCTCAGTCTCATGGCAGCAACACAATTCTGCACAGTAACATTTGGTTTGAGCCCTTTTCTCTGACATTGTGTTTCTTAAAACATGTATTTCCTATTCCCAGAGCATTGTTTTTGTCCAGGTTCATGACAACTTTATGAGCTAAATAAATGTTAGCTGAAAACATACTGAAAAACTGTGCTTTGGTGAGCTTAGTGTCCACAAAACATCAAGTATGGTCCATGGATGATTTTTTACCATTTAATCACAAATACTCTTGATCTTCTCAACAGGTCACTCAAATTTAATTACTTCCATTTTAGATCTACTACACACAACACATGATTATCATCCTTTATAGCTGCTAAGTTCTCTATCACCTTTCCAAAATTAAGGATTTAAGTTGGGATGTACCTAGTTAGATAAATAAATACTAGAATAAAATCTAACTTTTAGAGACATGTAGAACAAATGTTTTTTGTTTAAAAACATTCAGCAAAATTTCAGAAGTAAGCACCTAAAGAGAAATCCACATCCACATAAATTTTCTTTGGATACTTAATAGCTTAAAACTAAGATCAGAAAAAAAGTCTCCCATTCTGAGGATTTACTGATGTTTTTCCTCGGGTTGATACCTGGGGTTTTTTTTGCTGGCTTTGGCTTTTTTTTTCTTTAAGCAGAGTAAACATTCTGGCAATCTAAGACAATTTGGAGTATTACTTTTGCTTGCTTCAAAGTAACTAACAATGAATGACACTTTAAAAATTTTGTATGCCAGGACTTTACAAATAACCAATCCTCAAATTCCCTGAAACACAGATATAACTGCACTCTATGACTGGAAAAAGCAACACAGTGATTTGCAAAATATAACAAGAGTTTGTATGACTGAGGTAGGAAAAACAAACTCACAGCTTCCAACAATCACTAATTTCTCCACAGAACACTCACAGAAGAACACATTCACATGTTCATCAAGAGCTAATTTTTCCTGTCTCTTCTCTTATTCTGTTGTGGCACAGAGCAAACTGAAGAGGTTTTACCACTCTCTAGGTGAATCACACCTTTTTTTTTTCCTGGTGATCAAATAGTTGCACCAATATCTTACACTGACTTTATTGTATGCAACAGTATCCTTGAATATTTGTGTTTAAAAAAATTTAAAATTCACAAATTCTGAACAGTTTTGTAGAGCTAGAACTTTTTACAGGCAGACAGACATTAAAAAATATTGTGGATAACAGAGACAAAATATTCTTATTCAAGAGCTTCAGAAGGAAGAGTTCCATAGCTCTACTCAAACAGGTGTTTTTAGAAGTTGCAATAGCTGCCTGCAGTCTCACAAACTGGCTACAGCTGCCACCACATCAGCAAATCCATGGGGTGTGTTTGTCTCTTAGAAGATTCATTTGTCAACCAGGACACAAGAGAAAAGACAAAGCTCATCACTAAATGTACCAGCTCCTTCTCAAGGTATCTTCTCATCTCAGTACAATTAAGCTAATAAATCAGAAGCCAGTGACCAGTCCAAAAAGTCACTCAGAGCTATAAAAATCCCTGATTACCACTTAACTCTCTCTCCCCTGAGTTCATCCCAAACCCACCCTTTCCACACGAATATTTCTGAGTATTACAGCAGCAGTTACCTCCCAGAAGTCTCCACCTATAAATGCAGATTTCATAGATGACAACAGATCTTTATTTCACCCATTTCCTGCCACAACCCTCTCAGTCCAGCCTCTAACAGACCCCAAGGACAATACACTTCCCACAGCACAATTAGTTTCTGTTCTATCTCTATCATTTTGTGTATTTATTAAAGTTTTAAGACTTTAAGTCTCTTCCTCTATCCCTTTGGAGAGCAGCTCTCCCCCAGACACCGTTCTCCTGAGATCATACCTGTCGTTCACAATAGGCTTTCATTAGTTTACTAAGTGGTGTGTGCCTCTTAATCTTAAACTGCACCACAGACCCATCTTGCCCTGCCACCTTCAGATTAATGTGGTCATTGTTTTCAGTCTTCACTCCTTCCTGTGGGGGAAATAAAAGAAAAAAAAATAACCAACAGTTTTTAAAAAAGGTATGAAACTAGAAGTTAACATTTTACCGAAGTGCAACAGGTTATTGAAAAGGAGGAAATAAAGCTATTAAAGCAGTTTACTGACTTGAAACCTTGAATTAGGGAATAAAGGTCAGTACTTTTCAGTTGAAAATTTAAAGACAAAAAGCCACATACAAAGAAAAAAAATCTGATATTAGCTGTGATTCTGCAGACTGGAAATTTAGCAATGAAGAACCACCAGGCCAGGCATACAAAACAGATTAAAAAAAAAAAGTTTTCCTAGCAAAAGCACAACAATATGCAACACCAGCATTCCCACTGAATGGAATTAAGTTACCTATGTTAAAACTCTGATCTGTTATAGCTGATTTGTGTTATAACTGTGATCCCAACCAAGGTTCTTTCTCATTGCAACACAAACTTTTTCCTACCGTTTGATGTCCTTATTAAAAAAAAACTTTGCAGATACTTTAAAGGACTATGTTTCAAACGGTGATAAAACCTAAAACGGCCCAGGTCTTCTCCTTCAGAAAACGTTGAAAAAAACTCCCCATCAAGCAGCCCGACCCTGTCGGAGCGGAAAACTGCGGAAGATCAACTTCCAGCTCGGTCCCTCGTGTTCTGGGCGGGCCTGAGGGCAGAGGGACGGGGTCGGGGTGTCCGGCACCCCCAGTTCCAGATGTGTTTTCCCTCTTTTCTGGGAGCTGCCTCCCGCCATGTGTCAGCCCGCGCGCGGCCCCGCGCCCTGCACCGCTTCCAGCTCGGTTTGAAAATAGTGTGGGGGAGGAAAAAAAAAAAAAAAAAAAAAAAAAAAAAAAAAAAAAAAAAAGGAAAAAAAAAAAAAAAGAAAAAAAAAAAAGAAAAAAAAGTCAACCCCCCGGCGGCGGCCTCTGTTAATTCCTGCCGTGCGGAGCGGAGCCCCCGCCGCCCCCCCCGGCCCCGAGCGGGGCCAGAGGCGGCACAAAGGGGCCGGAGCCGTGAGGGGACCGTGAGGGGACCGTGAGGGCAGCGGCTGCCGAGGCAGACAGCGGGGATGCTGCGGCCGCGGAGGAGGAGGAGGAGGAGGAGGAGGAGGAGGAGGAGGAGGAAGGCAGCAGCAGCAACCGCCTCCAGACCTGCCTCTCTCCCCGCGGAGGGCGGGAAGGCGGCCCGGGCTCGCTCCCCCTCTCCCCGGGGATCCCCCGCCCGCCCCGGGAGCCGCGGCCCCGGCCCCCCCACCCGCGCAGGAAAATGGCGCGCAAAGGCGGCGCGGGGGCTGCGGGCCGGCGCCGCCGCCTGAGGGGCCGAGCGCGGCGGCGGGAGCTGCGGAGCGCGCCGGCCTCACCTTGGGCTTCTCGTCGGCCATGGCGAGTCGGCGATGCGGGGGCGGCTCGGAGCGCGCACAAAGGGGGGGCAGAGCCGGCCGAGCGCGGCGGAGAGAGGGAGAGAGAGGGACACAGAGAGAGGGGAAGGCGGGGGGGGGCCGGGAGCGCGCACGCACGGGGCAAGGCGCGGCCCCGCGGCTGTGCGTGCGCGCACCCGCCGCGCTCTCCCCTCCCCCTCGGGCGCGTTCCCGCTGCCCATTGGATCTCGGCGCGCGGGGAGGGGGCGGGGCCAGGCCCGGGCGGGGGGGGCGAGGCGGGAGGGAGGGGGCAGGGGCGGCGGGGGGAGCGCGCGCGCGCCCCGCGGCCGTTACATAACGCGGCGGCGGCGGCGGCGGGAGGGGAGGGGCGCGCGCGCGCCCGTGCGCCGCCTGCGCGCTGCGTGCGCGCCGCGTGCGCGCGCTCCCGCCCCGCCCCGCCCCGCGCGGCGGGCATTGTCCTTCGCAAAATGGCGGCCGGGCCGCCCTCAGCGCCCCGCAGCGCGCCCTCCCCGAACGGAACTTCGCCCAGCCGCCCCCAGCATCCTTGGCCCCCTCAAATCTTAAATCGTCTCAAATCTCCTCGAAGCTGCTGGGTCGCCTGCCACAGCCTCCTCAGAGCCTCCTCAGAGCCCCCTCAGTGCCCCCTCACAGCCCCCTCAGTGCCCCCTCAGTGCCTCCTCAGTGCCCCCTCAGTACCTCCTCAGTGCCCCCTCAGAGCCCCCTCAGTGCCCCCTCAGTGCCTCCTCAGTGTCCCCTCAGTGCCTCCTCAGTGCCCCCTCAGTGTCCCCTCAGTACCTCCTCAGTGCCTCCTCAGTGCCCCCACACAGCCCCCTCAGTGTCCCCTCAGAGCCCCCTCAGTGTCCCCTCAGAGCCCCCTCAGTGCCCCCTCAGTGCCCCTCAGTGCCTCCTCAGTGCCTCACACGGTGCTCTTGGCACACACACCTTCCCAATCGAACGGCGTCCCAGGGAGGTGGTGAGTCCCTGTCCTTGGAGGTGTTTAGGGGGAGAGCGGACGTGGCACTCAGTGCCATGGTCTGGTTGAACATGAACGCAAAGGTGGTGGTGGGGCATAGGTTGAACTGGCTGATCTCACGCCTTTTTCGACCTCGTTGATGCTGTGGTTCTGTGATCTCCCTCGTCTCTGCCTCATCAAATCTCTCCCTCCTGTTTGTGCCCCTCGCTCACTGTGTTGTGGAGGACAGTGATGGTGTGGCAGACGCCCAAAACCCTGGGCTGTCCCTGTGAGGAGGGATTATCCTCCACAGGAGAGATGCCATGTCTGAAGGAAGTGAGCACCTGCAGCACCCCAACAATTACACCACATAAATTACACTACATAAATCAGACCCACCAATGATGTGATTTCTTAAAAGTTCATTCCAATGGGAGGGAGGAGGAAATTCTCAATAACTCCAGAGATTTCACAGGTTCACACAAAACAGTTCCTGTATCTTCTATCATCAGCGTTACACTTGCCATCATAATTTGTCAAATGCTTCTCTACGTCATGTAGATGGAAAAGAAACTTCACAAAAATTACCCCTGTCAATCCCCAGGGATGGATTTTCCAGGTGGGTATCACTCCACACTGGTGCTGTTCCATGTGGGAACACTCTTGAGTCATGACACCAAGGTGTCTGTGTGGTTATACACCCCCTGTTCCTGGTAGGACAAAACTTTCTGCACCATTTCAGAGATGTTCCTTGTCCAGAATAAACTGCTCACACAGTGAAATACTGACTGAAGAGAAACTTCACTTACTGGCAGAGCCGCAGACTTGCTCTGTCAGTTCTGGTCCCTCTGCTCTGCCTTTGTCATGTTACTTCACATTCCAGCTCTCTCCTTCTGAGCACAGATTGGAGTTTTTCTGCCATTTTCTGGAAATTGCAGAAGAGTAATACCCACTGGGTAGAGGAAGCTGAAGCCACACCTTTATCTGAGTCTCAAGTTGAGAAAATGGAACAGCCATGAGGCAGGAGGATGTCCCAGGCTTCCACCTGAGCTTCCACAAAATGTGAGCAGTGGTCTTTGACAATCCCTTGCAGTCCAAACTTTAGCCTGAAATTTCATAGAACCTTTAAGTTTTAGTATTTTACTTCCCCTGAAGAGTCTTAATGAGTCAATTCTGAAAAAATCCCAGGCATGGAAGTGTTCAGTTCAACCTAAGAAGGCAACAGATGCTGCTTCAAATTGTGACTGCAATTCAAACAGATCATCCTTTGAGCTCTGCTTTCCACTCCTACCTGTATCAATTTACTTGATTTATCATCAAAAGATCTATCAGTTGATCCTGCCTGTTTTCTCTGTGTTTAATTACTCATGCTATTATTTTTTTATTTGTTTAAGGTACCGGGAGGTGAGAAGCACCCTGGCTGGGGAAGACCATGCACTTCTGCCCAAATCCCACTTCATGTGTGATGCCTCAGGCTCCTGTAGTCTTCTTTCTCCTTTCATTCCAGCTCTGAAAAGCAATGGGCAACTTGGTTTGGTCATTCTCATATTGATCATTACCACTAAGAAGTTGTCACTCTACTAGTGAGAACAAGGAAACAAAGCATCTTAATGCCCACCCTTCTATCTATCTCATCCATGGCTTTTTAAAGCAAAACTCCCAACCCAAGGGGTACTTCACAGAGCAAAAGATGAGTTGTGATTCCCAATGGACTTAAGTTCTATTTTTAGAGATGATGCAACATCACAGAGATGTGTGAGGAAGGGCTCAAGGGGTTTGATGGTCCTGTTGTATTTTGTTCTTTTCACTTCTTCCCCCTCCCTCCTTGAAGATCCCTGTGCTGCAGGCCCAGGAGGAGGATTTTTGGGGAGGTGGGATGAAGCTGGCCAAGGCCTGAGCGTGGCATGAAAGAACTGAAGGCAGAAATTACACCAAGTGAGACACACGTTAAGGCAGCATCACAAATAGAACAAATGTGCTAAAAAAGACAGGAAAATACTCTAGGATTTATCAGAACATATGGGAGTTAGATGTGCTCAGAAAGGCTGAAAACAGCTTCAGCTGCACCAGCACTGGTCTCACCACCAATCAAACAGATCCCAAATCACAGAGCAGGTTTATACAAACCTCATCTCTGTGTGGCTTTTCTTTTTACATAGCAACAGAGGAAACTCTGAGAAACTGGAGCTGACAATGATCAGTACTAAAACCTGCAAAGGAACAGGCCAGACAGCAGCACTGGGAGAAAGCAGCGGGGGGAGAAGCCACACTGGGAACTACAAAAGCTCCACTCCTGCAGGGTCCGGGCTGCAGCAGAGGGGAGCAAAGCAAAGGTTTTTGTCCCTCTGAGCTCCTCCTCTTCAATGCACCAAGCTGAAGGGAAGTGAATGGAGAAGCATCACAGTGAAAATTCCTGAGAAATTCCATCTTTGGGAGAAAAAAATTCCACGTGTTTTTTTCTTAAAGTATTTCCATACTTTGTTTCACTCTTGTACTGCAGTTTTATAAGGAATAAATCTAGATTTTGCAGAGCTCTTTGGTTTAATTCTCCCCCCTCTGATGAAGAGGGCAGGGAACATGGGCATTCCATATACATGTTCTTCATGCTGGGATTTTAAAATATTAAGTTTTTTGATACCAAAGCAGCTACAGGCAGAAGGTGCATGCTCCTGCACATCAGCAAACATTAGCCTATAAAACCAACTCCAGCCCCTTCAAAACTGAGTGTTATTTTGTTCTGAGTCCAATGCAATAACAAAAAGCACTCAGTAATTTGGTGTGAATGAGTGCGTTGGGTTACCAGCTCAGACTCTGCAGGTCTGAGTGCTTTCCTCAGGCTTTGTTCTTCATTAATTCTGGCTTAACCCTGGGAATAGAAAATACCTTTTGCCTACAGCCCTGCCTGTGCTGTGCCTTCCCTGTTCATGATGCTGATCATTCCCTCTGTTCCCCAAATAGCTTCCAAACCTCCTATTTCACAAGGTAGTAACTCCTGTCCTAATCAGATCTTTTTTTTTCTCTTTTTCTCCTGACTGTAAACCACACAATTTCTCTTTGCTTCCCTTGCTGGACCCACAGCCCATACTCCAAAGCCTTTCTGAGCAATGTGAAATTCCATGCTGACATGGAAATTCCCAACTCTACTCAATTATATGGACTGAGAGGCACAGAAGCCTCGAGCAGGAAGGTTTCCTTTCTAGGTATGTGCAGAGCTCCAGCCAGTGTTCAAGAGGACCAAAAATTGTCAAGATTTCATACTAAAACTCACCTTTCCCAAGATGATTTCCACAGGAACCATCCATTTATGAACAACAGATGCTGCGGATATGAAAAGCCACTGACACTTTTAGGGAGAGAGCAAAGTGGACGCTGTGTGCCAAGAGACAGCAGGAGAAGATCAAAGAGTTCCAGCTTTCAGTGTCTCTTCCCACAGATGGACCTGGGAGCAGCAGAGGACACTGTCCCACTCCTAGATCAACCTCCCACACGGTGGATCTCTACACAGTATTACATGGATGTTCTAAATATATTCTGCCACTCACAAGAATCTGCTGCAGTTATAAAAGCAGCACCTTAGCCTTGAGGAACAGTGGCAGGAGGCCTCGTACCCCTGGGTTTTTAGACATCCGGTTTTGAATTGCATATAGAGCCTTTTAGTGATGTGTGGAATGGTATTCTGGATCTAGGAATGCCCACTAACATCCTCAGAAGTCTGCAGCACAGAGCAGCACCATTGTGTAAGACAATAAGGTGAATTTGACTTTGTACAGCAGATTAAAATACAGGCACATCCTCAAGTAACAAAACAGAGACCCTTACCCATGATAAACAACGACAGGTTTAAAACTGATGAGTCTTCAGTCTCTCAAGCAGCTTTTGGAATGTTTAATTTGTTCTACCTGCAAAAATTTATTCGTTCTGACCTGAAGAGACACCACTTTCTTTTCTCAGCATGACTGGTTACATGACATGCTCTTCCCAGAGATAACTGCTGGCCTTATTTTTATTGGAAATGATGGATGCAGCAGTTGATAAGTAAAAAAGGGCAATTTAGCCATGGAGTGTTGCACTATTTGTCATACAGGACAGCAAATTATTTACATTATCTTGAAAAGTTTCTTTTTAGTGAGCATTCTGGGAAGGCACCAGCCTAAGAGGGACTGGTTCCAGCTGTGAGACCAACAAAGCTGCACTGCTAATACTTGTCTTAAAAAGTATATTGCTGAAGAACTTGCTTATTGGCTAGCACAGGCAAAAAGTGAGGAGTTCACAGAAGCAGGGAGGAGAGCAGAATGGAAGGAGAGGAGCAGGGCGCTGTGAGTGTTTTATCACACCATGGCATTGAGTTGAATGCCATGGTAGGTGAGCTCCCAGTGTTAACAGAAAGGTGATGAGCCTCCAGCAGCCTCAGAAGGCACCTCTGCCCAGTGTCCAGGGGATATTCCACCTCCTCCTGGACCCTGAGGCAGGGAGTGAGTGAGTGAGTGAAGCACAGTGGCAGTTCTTCCTGCTTTGATCCTGCTTCATTACAAGTCCTTCCCGAACCTGCAGGCAACTCTCTGAAGTCAGAGCACATAATTTGATTAGTCAGCTTTATCAATGCCCAAGAGCTCCAGAGAGCATCACCTTCAACATCCCAGAGGCTTCTCAACCTGCACGTGTTTGACATGTATGAGGAAATAGGAGACATGGGTTGTTACACAATGAAGTGTGAAAACACTGACAGTGACTGTGCACTTGGACAGAGATCAGGCAGGATGCGCAGTCTCCCTCACTGGAGATATTCCAGAACTGTCTGGACACAGCGCACTGCCATGCACTCTGAGATGAGCCTGCTGCAGCGGGCAGTTTGGACCCGAGTTTGTGGTCCTTCCAACTTAACCTATTCGGTGAATCTGTGAACGCTGACTGACCAACGACATCACTGCACGGCACACCTGGGGCCAGCAGTGCTCCCAGCCAGCATTGAATCTGTCCTGGCAAGAAAATGAGGAACACCGTGAGGGGCTGGCATCCACCCCACCCCACCCCAGCCCATCCCCACAGCCCGCTCGGCGCAGCCCCGGCGCTCAGGCCCGGCGGCCCGGGCGGTGGCGGGGCGGGTCCGTCCGCCTGGCGGGGCCTCGCGCACGGGCGGCGCTTCCGGGGGCAGCGCCGGTGCCTGTCCCGGGCCGCGGGACCCGCGCTGCCTCCCGTCCCGGCGGCGCCCGGGCGGCTCCCCCGGCGCCGCGGCCCCCGGCTCGGCGGGGGCTCGCGGCACGCAGGCGGCGGCGCGGGCAGCCCGGGGGGCCTCGGCGGCCCGGCGGGCGGGAACGGCAGCAGCGCGGCCGCCGCCATGGACGAGCCGGACGCGGAGCCGCCGCTGGTGGTGCGGGATGGGCCGGGCCGGGGGCTGCGGGGCCGGGGGCTGCGGGGCCGGGGGCTGCGGGGCTGAACGGGGCGCCGCTGACGGACACCGTCCCCCCGCAGGTGGTGCCGGGCGCGGACCCCTCGGCCCGGCAGCTCTGCTTCGCCTGGGGCCCCGCGGAGGTGCTGGTGTGCGAGACGCTCTTCGGCCGCGCAGGTGGGCTCCGCTCCCCGTGCCCATCGCGGTTCTGGGTGAGGGCAGGGCGGGCGCTGCTGCCGGGCGCTGACGGGCTCTGTTGCAGGTACCGGGGATGGAGCACCGAGCTCCTCCTGCGTCTTCGTGGTCCGCAGGGACCAGGACATTTACATCCAGACCCTGCGGAAACTCTTCAACGAGTCGCACGGGATTTTCATGGGGCTGCAGCGGAGCGAGGAGGAGCTGGCGGGGAAGTCGCGGAAGGCGCAGTGAGTGGATGGGGAGATGGGAAGGAGGCAGCCGCTGCCCCTTCTCCAGCCGGGGCCAGCGCCAAGGGCTGACGAACGCCTCAGGTGGGGCAAGTGCCATTGGCCAGGCTGCTTTCACCAGCTCTGGAATCAGCAGCGAGGCAGAATTACTATTTTGGGGATATTTTATAAATCAAGGATCGGATCCTTCCAATAACCATGCTAGTAGAATGTGGTACAGTTTCATTGATTCCAGCTGGATCCACCCAGGTAATGGGAGTTGTTGCTGCAGAGAAACTTGCAGTTATAGGGGGCATAACACTAAAACTCCAACAGCTCCCTCCAATCAAAGTCTTTTTGTGTTTGGCAGATTGGTTCAAGTGAGTAAAAACTACCGGTCAGTGATAAGAGCCTGCATGGAGGACATGCACCAGGCAGCTGGTAAGTTTGTTTGTTCTCTTCCTGCAAGAAAAGGAAACACCAGTTGCAATTACAAAAGTAGGATTGTAATAGTAACTTACTGCAAGTGCTGTACAATAACATGTATAGGTTTCAGTAATTGGCAAGATTCTATTTCCATGTGGGATATTTCCACGTTGGTTTGTGAATCTGGTCATGGACTGGTTTTTTCCCACCATATTGTAACTGATTTTCTGGGGACTTGCAGCCTTTTCGTATCTCATGTGGCAGATATATGGAAAGCTATCAAAGCTCAGAAGCAGCTGGCAAATGTAAATATGTTGCTCTTTGACTTTATTTGCTTTTCCCTCAGTTTCGACCCAGGACCCTGCCCTGCAAGGCCAGTACAGCACTCAGGTAATCTGCAGTCCTGTCAGGTTGAACGTGGATTACTGCCTGGTGAATTCACCAGGCCACCACTGTGGCACGAGGCACTTCAGATTTAACTCTGTCTTGTATATGAGATGCAGTTCATGGCCAAGAATAAATGGAAATAAATAGTTGATTCCTGTGCTTCTGAAACAATAAAGATGCCCAACACCTCAATTCACTGCAATGTTGTAAACATATTTGCTGTTGTAGATGTGATGTTTTCTTGTGATCCCAAAGCTGACAAGAAAAGTTTCAGACTTGCTGTGTGGTGTTTCACCTCTCAAACTCTCAGATTCCAATCAGCAGCATCTGAGCCTCACAGCAACCTCTGGGTGTTGAGGGTGAGCTGTCAGATCCACCAGAGCGTTCTGGGAGGAGCAGAGTGCTCACACCAGCTCTGTCCTATCAGCTGCAGTGGTGTTGCTTCATTGGCTGTTCTTTCTGCCTTTGATGTTTGTATTGAATCTTAAAAGGCTGAAAATAAGACCAGTTAGATTGCTCACTGGTGACAGATTATTGTTGCATTTCATTACACAGTGTCAGTGTTCTCTGACCAAAGAGTGTGAAATTGTGGCCTGTGTCTTTTAATTTTTATCTCTGCAATGTCAGTATGATGTTTCTCTGTAAGAACTGATTTCTGTGGACAGCAGATGCCTTTGTGTGGTTAAAAAACCCAGGTGGAATGACTGTTTCTGAAACTTGGCCCTGCTTTCCTTCAGGTTTCCATTCTCTCCGCAATGGAGCTGATCTGGAACCTTTGTGAGATTCTGTTTGTTGAATCAGCTACAGGTGAGCTGTGAACTATCCTGGTGTAAAGACTGATGGGTTTCTTCTTTGCATATTTCTTTGTTTAAAATGTGTATTATATTCCCTGTGTCATAGTTTAATGTTTTAGAGATATGCAGTGTCA